AAAAGCTGCAGCAGAGCAATGATAAAATTTATTCATGTGCAAACCCAGCTGTTGCCCTCTTAGTCAGCTCTTTTGCTCCTTCTCCCCTCTATTAAAGTGCTTTTGGGTTATGAGGCTGCAGTGGTGCCCTCTAAAAGCAGGGAATTGTATATCTGGTGCTTTCCCCAGGAAATGCTGGTGAAAGATTTCCGGGAATTGCGTGCTACCGTGGAGAGAATGGGACTCCTGGAGCCAAACCAGCTCTTCTTCTTCCTGCTCCTCGCCCACATCCTGCTCTTGGATACTGCTGCCTGGCTCATCCTCTTGTACTTTGGGACATCCTTAGTGCCCTTCGTTTTGTCCCTGCTGGTGCTGACCATCTCCCAGGTGAGCAATGAATTCCACAGCCTGGACTTGCATCAACATCCACACACACACACACGAGCAGTTTCTTGTCCTTAATTTCCTCCCTTGGCACAGTTTCACTTGGCCATGAGAAGGCAGCACCGCATCTGGATGCAAAAAAGAAGTTCTGTGTGTGAGGAGCTCCCTGTAAACTTAGTCTGGGCTTCTTCCTGCAAGAGATATTCTGGGGGAAGCTTTGACAATATCAGGATTTCATAGTCCCTTTCTGATGACTTTGGAGCAGTGTCTGAGAAAGAAATCTTGGTATTTCAAAGCAAAGGATGAGTGTGGCACCATCSTGGCCTCAATTCCTGTTTTTCTCCCCTTCAAAGTTTTGTTTTTTCGTCCTCCAGGTCCAGGCTTCCTGGCTACAACACGATTTGGGACACCTTTCAGTATTCAGGAARGCCAAATGGAACCACTTGCTACACAAGTTTGTGATGTGCCATTTGATTGTGAGTCGCTGAAAAACTTCTGAGGGTTTTCCTGTGAAAACGTGTGTGTTCTGAAGGTTCTGTGGAGCGTGTGCAGGAAAGGATTAGGGTTGGGAACTAAAAGGATCCTGGCTCTGAAAATGCTTTTCACTCTTCGTCCTTCCCTTGAACAGGGGGCCTCGGCCAACTGGTGGACTCTGCTGCACTCCCAGCACCACGCCAAACCCAACTGTTTCCACAAGGACCCCGACATCGATATGCACCCTTTCCTCTTCACTTTGGGGAAGAAATTCTCCGTGGAGGTCAGTGTGTGGGCGGGGGAAGTCCAAAACTAAGGTGTGACAGCAGTTTCTGTAGAGAGATTTATTCTCTACAGTTCACGTTAAGTGCCTTTAAGAATGTCATGAACAGCTGACACGGTGATGTGAATAAATCAGGTATGATGTAAGGGCACAGTACAGAGGGTGGAAAATCCACAGCTCATTAAAGGCTGGAGAAACCTAATGACCCAGAACAATAGCTCAGTAATTAACCATCATTAGATAACGCATAATCATCAGTGTAAGGCATGGCAGCAGTCAGCCTGGGATTATTATTATTTTAACATCCATGTCCAAGGCTCGGTGAGAGGGGTGGCCTTTGGTGTGCCCATGTCTTCCAGGAGAAGGCAGAACTTCTGCTGCTCCAGGAACAGCAGGACTGAATAACCCAGGGCTGCTCCTGGAGCTCCAGCTGGGCAGAAGCTGTTGGATCACAGAGGATATTCCCAGTTTGTCCTGCTCAGACACTTCCAGGAGTGACACCTTAGCATGCTGAACTCCTTTTGCTGTAGATCTCATCCCTTCTTGAGACCCCCATCACAGTGGCTACAGCAGTGAAATATCTTCCTCCATGCCATCATGGAACTGCCATTTAAATATACAGATACAGAGAATAAAATAGGGGGTGGGGAATGAGAGAAAATACATATAATTGGTTTTGACCACCTTAAAACCCCCAATCCTTTACAAAATTAATCATGAATGTAGTAAGAACATAAAGCCAAGGAAATTCACCGTTTGAAATTCCCTTCTATCCATCCTAAAAGTTATTTTTATCCTAACTTAAAGATCACACCATCTTTTAATTTATGAAAGGYATCAAATCCCTACATTAATGGGATGAGGATTTAGAAAAGGCACATTATTTACATAAACAAATAGGGGAGGTACACAAGAGGAAGACAGAAAGAATGAGGGTTGTGGGAAGTGTGCAAGAAGAGTCCCTCTGGAAAATAAATGGAAAATAGCAAGTTACCTGTGCAAATTGCTTAGTGTCCACTCATATTTTGGGGTTTCTTTAATTTTTTTTCTTTCCCCACAGCTTGGGATCAAAAAGAAAAAATACATGCCCTATAACCACCAACACAAATACTTCTTTGTCAGTGAGTATCTCCATTTTCYTGCAATTCCCTAAGAGGTACTAAAGGGGCTTGGAGATTCTGCTTTTGACCTGGAGAACTTGAGCAGAWCAAAGGTGCCTGAGYCRAAGAACACAATAAAAAGGCCATAAYAACCAAATTTTTGGAACAGGTGAAGACCTGACCCATTTTATCCCAGATCTTCCACATCTTTTACAGAGGCCCTGGGTCATGAGGTCATACCACATCTTTCAGTGGTATCAAAGTCTGTGAGTTTGGGGGTTTTGTGGTTTGGTTTCGTTTCTCAGCTTTTTTTTTTTTTTAATTGCAAGTGAGATGTCCCTTTGGAAGGTTGAGTTTGAGCTCTTAACCCAAAATCCCTGATAGGAAAGGAGTTTYATATTTATTCTTGTTGTTCCCCTGCTTTGAACAAAGGAATGGGGAGCCAGTTAAGGTCTGTGGAAATGACTTCTTGAAATAATAATTCATRGCTGTTCTCAGTTAAGAGCCTAAATTGAAATCTGAGGTTTGTAAGAACTCTCAGTTTAATGGGCAGACCTAGAAATATTTCAAGGCACCAACAGAACACCCTAACCTGGAATGTTCTCCACATGGAGCAGCAGTTCAGTACCCTTCCCTTCCAGGCTGATGCCATCACTCAGTCTGTGATTATCACCAGTGACAATTAATTTTTTTTTTTTTTTCCAGCACTTCCTCCGCTCCTGTTTCCCACCTACTTCCACTACCACACATTCTACATTGCCTACACAAAGAAGTACTGGGTGGTAAGTTCTGCTGCTCTTGTGACCAACAAGGGTCAGATGGGGACCTTCAACTTTCCTTCTGAGCACRGAGCCAAGCCCCTTCCTAGACAAAAATGCTCAGATTCGCCTCCTACATCAAGCTCTGAGAAAGTATCATTAGCTGGATTGCTCTAGATTATCCATTCAGAAAAAAAAAACCAAAACCAAAACTGTCAGAGCTAAATGTAAATTGTTCTCCTGTACCTGAAATATGAAGCTTTAAAAAAGACTTAAGCAAATGTGATTTTAATGGTCTGCTTTTCTTGTTGTCTCTGGTTTTGGTAGGACCTGGCCTGGATGCTGAGCTTCTATATCAGATTCTGTTATACTTATGGATCATTATTAGAAATCAAGAGTCTCGTGGCKTATTATTTTATATTCAGGTGATGTCTCTTTTAGAACATTCTTCAGCCTTTCCTCTATGCATTCTTTCCATCTGTACCTGCCTGCCTTTCTCTCTCTATGCTTATATTTCCACATCCTCCTTTGCCACCTCATTTTTTTGCCTACTTTTTTACTCATTAATTCTTTTGTTCAATTGCCAGTGCAAGYTTTGTGTTGCCTCACTGGCTGTGGCAGCAGAGATTTCACCGAGGGCTGCCCAAATTGAGAAATAGTTACCTTATATAACATTTAGGTGCTACTTAAAGAAATATTTAACCAAAACAGCTTAGCTTGCAAATGCCCAGWCATTATCCAGCAGCACTGGCTTGGATGGACAGCACACTTTCCACTTGGATCATTTCTCTGATTCTAATCAGTTTGGGCCTTGGCTATGGATAAAACAAGCTGAACACCAGTCAGTGTTAAAACACATGAAATAACCATGARTTCATAAGGAAGTACGAAACTTCCAGGGTTTGGAAGTCCCCTCAGGTGCTGGCTTAGCAAGGCTAGTGTTCAGCCATGTATTTAAATTCTGGCTATGCTGTTATTCCACTGACCTGCTCARCCCATCCTGAATTCTGGCCTCTCTGATTGCCCAGGATGCTGGAGAGCAGTTGGTTTGTCTGGGTCTCACAGATGAACCATATCCCCATGGATATCGACTACGACAAGAATTTGGACTGGATGTCTACTCAGGTAAAATATTTTTCCATTCTTACAGACTGTGGCCATGTAACAAAGGTACAAATTTTTACCATAAGCAAGTCTGCTATTGCATTAAGGGTGAAATCTGTTGGTGGCTGGGAAGTGAAGGTTAACAGTGATGGATTCAGTCATGGAAAAAGCAAAGGACAGCAATGACACACTCATGGGCAATCCAAGATCAAACCCAGATCCAGCTCTGGTTTCTAAACATGCTCTGACCTGTCTCTGACTTTGCTTTCCTCTCCCCTCCTCTAGCTCCAGGCAACCTGCAACGTGAAGCAGTCGCTGTTCAATGACTGGTTCACTGGACACCTCAACTTCCAGATCGAGCATCAGTGAGTACTCATCCCAARAGAGAATTTTCTTCCCCTTCTTCTTTAAAAATCTTTTTTCCCTTCTCTCTCGTTTTTATTTTTCTTATTCTCCTTTGCTCTGAATTCTACAAATAACTGTGAGGCAGCAATGAGTTTGTCTTTAGAAAGGCTGAAACCCCTTTGGATGTAATCCAAAGCTTACACAGGATGACAGGAGAAAATGGAACACAGGCAGGATCCATGGAAGGACAGCAACAGGGACAATCCCAAGTGGCAGATTTTAAGGGTCAGTGGAAATGTCCTGCTTTCAGTCTGCACAGTAGTTTAAAGCCACCTCTGCTGATTATTCATGCTGTTATTCCAAAGAGTGAGACATTCAAGGATAAAGGGTGGGCCCCACTGTGCTATGGAGATGATTATTCTGGAAAAAGAGGGAGGGCAGAGAAAGGAATTTCTTCCATAAGCATCATTTAATCTGGAAACAAACTCTGGAAAAGAGCAGAGGGAGAAAGCAGGGAAATCCTGTGAGTTCCTTATGCTAAAAGCACAGCAAGGGAAAGGAAGAGCCGTGGATCCTGCTCATGGCRAGGATGATTCCTGGGAAGTGCTAATGGCCWGRACTCCCTYTGAAGCTTSCCTRTCTCTCATTCACAGCCTGTTCCCRACRATGCCACGGCACAACTACTGGAAGGTGGCCCCTCTGGTGARGTCCCTGTGTGCCAAGCACGGCATCGAGTACCAGTGCAAGCCRCTGCTCACRGCCTTCGCCGACATCGTGCAGTGAGTAACAGCACCCCCAAAATACCTGCAGGAGGATGCAGGAGAGCCTGCAATCCTTGTCTTGTTCTCCTTTCACCCTCCCAGGCTCACAATGTGACTCTTGGGGATGGTGCTGTGCAGGGCTGGGTTGGACTCGATCCTTGTGGGTCCCTCCCAGCTCAGCTCTTTCTGGGATTTTGGGAAATGGGCACAGAGAAACCTGCATTCCCTTGTCCCCACAACACTCCCCTGAGTGGCACTGCCATGTGTCCCCTCTTTCTCTCTCTCCCAGCTCCCTGAAGGACTCGGGAGAGCTCTGGCTCGACGCCTACCTGCACAAATAAAGGACAGGGCTTGGTGCTGCCATCCACAGCCTGCCACGAGCGCGTTCCCAGCCAGCCGAGGGGCAGGGACCACAAGGGACTCTCTGGCAGAAGAAAACGAGTAGGAACCAAGGGACACTATGCCAATAGGGATGAAGCTACCTGAATTTTTCTTCTGGTTTTTCCTGGGGTTTTGGTTCAGATACGTTAAGAGTGGGCAGGGCAAGCAGAAGGTGAATTGTTAGAAGAGGGAGGAGCTCTTTGCTGAGTCTGAGCATTTCTAAGCCCAGGCATGGGCTCAGGTCAGATTGWGGACTGGTGCAGCAGCACACACTTWACTTCATGTCACAGTCCTCTGGCCATKGCTTTTTTTTTTTTTTKGTTCTCCTCATGTGGAGGGTTTAATGCARGATACAGCATTTGCTTACTTGAATTTGAAACTGCGAAGTATTTTGGATTAACACTGTGTTTCAGCAATGAGCTTAAATCACAATAAATTAGGATAAACTACAAACCACACCTAGACTGTAGCAACTGCAACATGCAGTGAATAAAAATATAAATGTGTTTTCATTACTGTTCTCTGGAGCATCCTCATTGTCACAAGGCTGAGAAATAYGTGGGTTAAAACCAGCTCAAGCCCACTGCTGTCTCCAAAATTGATTTGGTTTGGGGGTTTTTTTGGTACTTTGTGTTGGGCTGAGACACGTGAAYACTCCATGTGCACTCCCCACCTATACAGGACTAAGGTTATAAAACAGAAAGATAAATGAAAAGTAAAATAAATCACCTACAGACATTTGGTCAAATTGAAAAGTTGCTGTTGCAGCTAAAGCAAGATTATATCAGATTTTGGCTGTGCCAGGCAGAAGGTGAGTCAGAGAAAAGACTGGTCCAAACACTGTGAATCACCCTTGAGAGGAGACAATATCCTCCCATTAATTAGTAAAAAAGCCTGTTCTTTGTCTTCTTACTCAGAGCCTGAAATAGAAGACCAGCTTTTGGAAAGGGGASTGTGGGAACAACAAAATTCCACTTGAATATCACCAGTTACCCCCATTTTTTGCAATAATTCAAGGTTAATAAATAGAAATCTCAGAAGGTAAAAAGATACAAAAAAAAATCCCCTGATGATGCAACGAGTGGACTTTGTATTATTTGTGCAATGATTGGCTTTGGCTGAATTACTTAAAAACCTTTAACCCCGCAGTCAGCCAGAACAACAGAGAGATTTGCTATTAAACCATTTTTCCTGCCTTGGAAAAAGTGCAATTGTGTTTAGAGGTTAACAGCACAAAGTACAATTCTGACCCATGGGAGTAAAAGAAACAATTCCCAAAAATTCTGCGGGAGAATTAAGCAATAAAGCAGGAGTCACAACAGTATCAGTTACAAACCCATTTCCACTACATTAAAAAGCCTTTTTAAAATTACCTTAAGCAGTTTTTGAAAATGATTTATTGGGCAGATGAAAGGCCTGATTTTGAAGATCAGAATTCRATTTTTGGACCTTTGACATCACCGAATTCCTAGTTCAAGAACACTGCAAATCAAAATGCAATTTAAAAAGAGAGCAGTGAATGTTTCCATTGTCTGAGGAGCCARCAGTGCTCCAATGAGGACAGGTGTGCAAGAGGATTGAGCAAGATTGAGGTGAAGGGCTGTGGATAAATATGGAAAAAAGCCTAAGCAATATTTGGATTAACTCCAGAGCAAACAGGAGGAATTGCCAAGTTTTCYCTGGGTATCTTTGACCAATCTTATCAGTATCAGCCTCAGATGAAAGGCTGCCTGCTTTCCCTCAGGAAAATATTGGATGGCTGGGTAAGATTTTACAMGGAAGATAGCCCTGAGAAGAACAAAGGAGGAAAAATGTACAAATTAGTTTTACAACCCAACAGAAAAGRATAAGCAAACAAGAAAAAAACACCCCCAAAAACAATTCTTTGTAACTTTTTTGCATAGTACATGAAAACAGAGTGAAAGGAAAATTAGCATTAAGGAGCAGAGCATTCTCCTTAAATGTGAACAGTGATTAAAACAATACAAAATATTAACTAACTTACTCTAAAATGCAGCCTTGATTCCTGCAACTCTGAAAGGCAAAATTCCCTTCTTTTCCTACAGTAGTATCTTGGAATCAGAGGTTCAGGAAAGACACTTCCCACTGGAAATAATATTAAAATTTTGAATTCAAAGAGAAGTATTTCTCCAGTAATATCTCTTAGCAGAAATACTGAGTGGCCAAAGCACCTTGGACTCTGAAYACACTCTGTAAATAAAGCAGGGAAAATGAGATTTCTTCATTCTTGCTYTTCCAATTCCCCCCTTGTAGACAACATAGGAGCTATGATCATGTAGGAATTCTGTATTTTCATTCTCTTTGAGGAGTGTTGCAACCACAACACAGTCTGTAACCAGTATTTCCCATCATTCTTCTTCCTCAACAATTCTTACAACACAGAAGCACAAGGTCAAAGATTCCCAAGGGTGGAAAAGAGAATCCTRTAAKAGTTTGGGTTCGCAGCTATTTGTAGGAAAGTGCACTCACTTGTGTGTTAATCCTGACTCAGCAATCACAGAAATAAGGATCTGCTGCACTGGAAAAAAACCCCACCCAAACAATAAAAAAAAAAAAAAAAACCAAAGTTCCCAATACTGGTCAAAGTTTTAAAATGTGGAACCTGAGAGAAATGACCGAGAATAAACTCTGAAATGAACAGACACAGCAAATCTATATAAGGGATTYCTGTGGCTTTATCACATGCTATGAAATGGGAAATGAAGGTTTTCTTCTGGCCCGGTCCATTGGAGATTCACAGCATTTGAATCATGGAATCACTGGATCCAACTTTTATTACAACTATGCAAAAAGCCTTTTGGAATCTTGCAATGATTTAAATGAAATGGATTTCAGATTAAGGTGAGAATTTTTGGGGTTTATAAGAAACTATGAAGACATTGTCTTCTTTGATGTCCTCTATGCAGCTACTTTGCTCTGGGAAACAGGATGCAAAAATATTTTTTTTACATTCAAAAATTACAAGTATCAGTTTACCAAGCTTCAGTGTGTGATCTGAAGAGATTTCAGCCCAGCTCCTGCAGCCCACAGTGCAGGGAGATTTCCTAGGGTTGGAGTTTGACTTTGGGTGAGACTCCAGCGTGACAAAGTCCAAGCTTTCATCAGACAATTAAACCATGCAGGCTCTGCTCAGCAATCCAGCCTGTAAAAGTGTCATCATTTACAGCTTTCAAACACTTCACTCATTATTTTTACACCATTGCTCATAGTTCAGCCTTGATCTGCCTTCCCAGACTGCGTAACAAGGCACCACTTCACAACCTTTTGCAAACACAGGGTTTTTTGGGGGGAATCTTTTTGAGTCTCACTGATCCCCACAACTGGAATCATCCTGAATGCCACCAACCTGGCAAAATAATCAAATCCGTTCTGRGAGCCTCAGTTCTTTCCCAGTTCTGTCCAATGTGGCCTTGGCAGCTGTTGAGGTTTAACCCTCRATGTCAGGGTCGAGGCCACGCTCCAGCCCACCCCTGCAAGGCGTGACCTGGGTCATGACCACACAATTTTGAGCCCAAACACCAGCTCAGACCCAGCTCTGCAGTGTTAGCTGGGGGGCAAAGTCAGGCTTTACCAGGCACTGCAGGTCTTGGTGCAATTTGTTATCAACAAGAGGTAAGAATACCCAATAACTCAGTGGATTCACTGCTGCAGTTCTGGGCTGGAGCCCCAAACCCCACAGCAAACTGAACTTGGAGCAGAGAAAAGTCACAGAGTGGAGAAGGGTCAGAACAGGGACCATGATCCCAAACTGCTCAGAGCCCTGTCCAACCTGGCYTGGAAYRTTTCCAGGGATGTGGCACCCATCACCTTCCTTGGAAACCCGAGCCAGGACCTCACCATCAACATAAAACATTTTGTGAGAAAATGGTGACTCACCTGCCTGTGAGAATTCATGGATCAGATCTCCATAAACAGCCTTTTTCTCCAAGAGGAGCAGCAGGCATGGAATATTATTTAGCAAAACAGCATAATTGCTTTATTGGATGCTAAATTCATGGATACATGAACACACTGCTTACYAGGCAATTCAATGAGCTGCATTCAGAAAAGGAAATCAGGGCTTTTCCCAATGTCTTTAAAGCACTCAAAGTCTGACCCAAATCCACCTCACCCTTTTTCTCCCCACATAACATTTAATAATCCCATAAATTCACTCATCTCCTGGCACAGCTCAACTAATGTGATTCTGGAATCTGCTCCTGGCTTTTTGGACAYTCAAGTTCAAACATTTTGGGAAAGGGAGAACAACCTAGGAATGAGGGCCCATGAAAAGGAGAGGCACTGCTGGAGAAGCTGTTMTTTCCCAAACATTAGTTTCAAAATTCATTCCCAATTCCACTGCTAGAGAAATACATCTAAAATAAAACAGTAGTTGAGAAAATGTTGAGTAATTCTCCCTTAGAGATCACTGAAATCACATTGCAACAAACTGTCAAAGGTGTGTTTGGTTTTAATTGAACAGAACACAAAAATCAAAACAAAACTGAGGCTGGGTCMTGTCAGTCTCTTTACTCTCAGGATAAGGAGCTGCAAATGGATTTATTGTCTTGTTTACTTGAAGAAATAGCATCATTGTTCTTCCAGAGTTGCCCAACGCTCTCCACAGCTTTGGGAAAAGCGAGGTTTTCTGTACAACACTTGTCATGGCTAGTTCAGCATAGAACACAGGTCATTTAAGTCATTTAAAGGCAACTGTGGGGTTGAAATGTGAGATTTTAAAACAAAGGCAACTGCAAAAAGTACATCCAACTTACAGTTTCTGCAGCATCTCCAGAAAAATAGATGAAGGAATGTAGGAACTTCCCAGATTAACACCAACTGTTTGAAGACATTCGCACAGAAAACACATTTTGCCAAGAGATTTTAAATTCCATTTATTTCAGAAATAAAAGACAACAAGATAATTCACTTAGCAGACATAACCAAAATTAGAAGATAAGGCCTTGTTTACTCTTTCCCAAAACTCATTAGGATCCTCTGTTCCAGCTCAAATTATTCCCAGCCAGTCRTGTAACCCCACATGCCTGATCAAGTGAAAATCCAATGGAACCCCAGAAAATAGGTTATCAGCTCATATTATTTTACTGCATCTCTACCACAGTTAATTCTTCACAAWCAGGTTTTAGATATATTTCCTAGATATATTCACACAAACATCCTGTTTTAATTAAAGGATAACCCTGAAAATTAGCTCTGGCTTGGTCAAGAAATAGCAATAGCAGATTATTGCAGTAAAATAATGATTTCAACAACCCCTGAGAATAGTTTTGGAAGTTCTTGAGCTTGAATTTCAATATTCATGAATTTGAAGGTTCATCTCTCAAACACTTGGCATGTTAGTATTTTTCTATTTAAATTTTCACAGATTAGAAGGAACAATTTACTCCCCTACCCCTGAAAAGGCTGTAAGGTGTAATCAATTCAGTTGTACAGTGCAGCGAGTAAAAAATATCCTTTGCTACCTCCCTTATGTCTGTTATATTCCAACACAGCATTAGTAAGCAAAGATTATCTTGAAATACATGTATTGGGAATAAAATTGARCTATATTTAGATTAAATTTTGGAGTTAGTTTAATCTCTATCAGAAAGAAAGAGTAAAATGTTGGTATGCCTCAAACCACTGCATAAAATCTTATTTCTGGAAGGCCAAAAATAAAATTCAAGGGATGTGTTTATAAATACACACAGATAATTATTTTATTAGAAATACTGAACAGCATCAACTTTTTAAYGTTAACAAATCTCTCCATGAGGGCAATCACAGTGTCCTTAACAAAATTCTACTGTGCAATTTAGCCTGGACAGTTTTACAACAAGAAAAAAAAAACCCAACAGTATTTTGATTAAATTTCTGCTTGCTCCTAGAAATGAAGACAATTTCCAATCATGAGCAGTTTAAAAATCCCAGAAGTTGTTATCAAGCAGTAAAGCACTAGCGTTGAAAGGCACTGGGACTGGAGCTTATGTTACCTGGTTTCCAGTACAGACAGCACTTGGGAGTTCAGTAAATCACCCCTGCAAAACACTTCTGTGCTTGGGCCCAAGGCTGCTACATTCATTAAAGTGTTGGACGGGTTCTTGTGCAGGTGAGAGGATGCAGAATTCAGAGCAAATCTCTGCAGATTCACAGGTTGGATCTTTCCTTGACAGACATGGGAGTCGTGGACTGCACGTATGTCCTAATTACATCCTGAAAATAAAGGAACAGAAACACTCAGAATGAGTGCCAGGAAAAGCAGAGAACTTCAGGAAAAAATGAGCATTTGAATCAACAGAGTTGTTACTCTTTGAAGCAAGCTCTGAACCCAAGAAAGACTTGTGGCAATGTTTCATTACCATGACAAAGGGTGGGTAATCAACCTGAASACATTAAATATCACAGATATTTACATTACAAATCACATTAAACATCTGGTTATCCTCCAGAAAGCCTACAAACCAGCTGAAACAAAGCCTTTKTACCCCACCAGTTAATCAGCATTTAATTGTTACTGAAGCAATGTTTCCTTATTTTGTAATTCTACATGCGCTGATTCCTGGCCTTTAATCAAACAGGGATCAACACCAATTTCTCACTTCATTGGATATACAAGAGAAGCCAAAGTAATTCACAGCCAGTCAAAATGCAGCCACAAAAGTCATAACTGTACCTTTCTCCCACCCTCAGCGTTGTATTTGTCCAGCAAAGCCTGGATGCAGGCACCATAGTCAGGATGGACATCAGAGAAGTTTTTCACCTGAACAGGAAAACAGAAAAGGCAACAAGAATTTTTTTCCTCCATTTCTAATAGATTCTTTCCCACATYTCCTGGCCTACACACAGTAGGTATCATAAAGAAGAATAATTTAATTCTGATCAGTTAGAAACAAGCTATGAATACCTTCAAACACTATTTCTGTTATCTCACACAGAGCTCACTCCCAATTTGAACGAAGTTGCCCTGGGAAGGATAAGTATCCAATCCCYCCCTGGCCCTCACTGCCTTTTCCTTGTTTAAAGCAAAACTTTACTCTGGCAGTCAATTTTTGAAACACCCTTGGATGTTAAACACCTATCCCACTCTTCCCACCAGGAAAAAGTTGACATGTTATATATTGATGTTACATTGTGTAAACAGATACTTCAGTATGACAATTCCTGCAGTAAGAAAAAAATCAAACCTCTTCCAAGAATTCCTGATCTTCTTTTCCAGAAGCCATTATGACTAAGTTACTAGACTAGTAGAGATCCTGGAATAATCCCCAAAGAGGGCACTTACAGCTCGTTTCTGAATGAAGAGCTGGGCATCCTTCAGGCTTTCRGCGATGTTTTTGCACAGCCTCTGTCGCTCCGCCTCGTTCAGCACCTTGAGGTAGAAGTCCCGCACCTGGCCRTCAGAAAAAAGGGGTTATTTTGACATTCCTCACAGCAAGTAAGAATAGCTTTCACTTAGTCAAGCAACACTCAAAATATTTAAAGGGCAGCCCATCTGTGAGGGCTTTTCTTTGGCAAACCTGCCAAAAACGCGTTCTTCAGACACCACCAAGGCAAGCCAGAGCCTCTACACAGTGATGCCCAAAATGTGGATTTCAAATTCTGTGGGAATTCACACTAATGCACACCCTACACACTCCCCACGTGTGCCAAGTCACATCCCTCACCTGGGTGACRTTGTCCTCATTGGCACTGTTGAAGCGCTGCACGTCCCCTGAGGCAAACATGCAGCTCTCCTTGAGCCTGGGCTGATCCTCGGGACCGGTGAAGCTGTTTGGRTAATAGTTTGGGGCACCACCTGGAGGAAAAAAAAAAAATCCCAAAACCAAAATAATCAGATGGCAGCACCCTCAGATGAGTCAAAAGACAGAGGATGTTCTTTGCTTGGAAGAATCTAARTCAATTACTCAGTGACAATTTGTTGTATTAAAAACAGTTGACAGCATTTTTCTGTCAACACCTTCAAGCCAGTACTTAACAGCACTTGCCACAAAGAGAATTTCCATAGCTTAAAAAAAATACCTTGGAAAAAGTGGTTGCAGAAATAAGAAAACCTGGCCACTTTCACAACAATATTGCTCAATTATAACAGACAAAATCATGGTTGAAATCCAAGGCAGCATAAAACCACATGGTCATTTGCATATCTGCAGTACTACAATGATTCCCTGYGTAGGGAGTGTATTTTAAACACATCAGGAACTTAGGGAACTGCACAAAAACAAACTTATCTGTTCTGGGACAAGAGCAGCCGCTCTCAAGTTCCTGTTTTTCAAATATTTCCCTCTCCTCTCTCAGCAAGTGCCTGAATTCATAGCCCAGGGGAACACATATTTGAGCATGAGCCACAGCTTAAGCACATCCTTGTTTACTCTAAGGTGGAAAACAGCCACTATTGGGCAAACCCTGACAGAACAGGAGCTGCTCAATAATCCAGGGGAAATTACAGCTCTACTCTTGGTATTTTCACTTTTGTCTTTCACAACGTTTAAGAAACCAGAAAGCGAAGCAGTTTAGTGAAGTGGACTGAGCACATGGAAGTCASTCTTTACATTTAAAAAATGCAAATATAGATTTCTCAAAGACATTTAGGCCATTTCTATTATTTTTAGGTTAGATTTTGTCTACAAGTAGAAACAAAAGGGTAGCAATTAACATATGTAAAAATATTTCTCTGACACATTTCTTCTTTTCAAATCAGTAACAATTTTGAACCTTTTCAATTAAGTGCCCTTTAACAAGCATGTTTCCAGAAGTCTTTACAGGAACATAAAGTAGGGACATAATTGAATTTGACTGTGGGTGTTCTGCAAAACCCTCTACTGTTACATGCTCATGTCTGGGAATTCTGAAGCCTGAGAAGTTAGAACGGGTAGGAAGAGTCACAAAAGACTCAATATAATGATTCATATGCATTTTGTAAGTTATTTTCCTGCCTACCTTGGTTGTCAGAAACAGTCATTGGCCCATCCCTCTGGTAGTTGGCCACCCTGGCTCTGAAGGGACAATTCACAGGGATCTGGAGGTAGTTGGGGCCCAGGCGGTGTCTGTGGGTGTCAGGGTATGAGAAGAGGCGCCCCTAAAACATCCACCACAAACATTTATTACYCTTGGAAAAGACTGGGCCATGTCAATTCAGAACTTTAGCAATGCCCCTCAGGCCAAACCTGCCGTTTACCTGCAGCATTTTGTCAGGGCTGGGCTCGATCCCAGGGGGCATGTTGCTAGGGTCATAAGCCATCTGCTCCACTTCTGCAAAGTAGTTGACAGGATTCCTGTTCAAGACCAGCCTTCCCACAGGGATGAGAGGGTAGTCATTATGTGACCAAACCTATAAGACAAAACACACATCCCTTAAAATCAACATTATTGCAGTATTATGCAGCTTAATTGCCGGGCAGAATTTGCCTGATTTAAGTTTTGATTGAGAAAACACATTACTGAGTTTCTTTCCTCCTACCAAATATTGAGAAATGTCTTATTTTAAGAAGATTTTTGCAATTAATACAGAGTATTAATGCAACTCATTTCATCATCCCAGCATAATCTCAGTGCTTGAGTACTGAATGAAATACCCGCGGGCCCTTGAAAAGCTGCCTGGGGAACCAGGGTGTGGGTGGAACTGGTGGCACAAATGTTTTCAGCCACTCCAAAATGCTTAACTGGMTTACCTGGCCTTTTCTTTGCCACCTGAGCTCCACTTTTTAGTTCAAAGGTCTTTAGCCACTTGGRGAGAGCAGTGTTAGAGTAAAAAAAAGCACTGYAAGTTTATGTCAGCATCTTTTGACRAGGCATTMCTAGGAAYAGCTATTGGGGGTGGGACAAAATCAGAGCAGCAAGGCTCAGGGTGTGACTCTGATCTAAGATCACACTCCTGGGATCTGCAGGCCTGGAATCAAGCCCTATCCATGTTTCCCTGAGGAAGAGTAACATCAGATGTAACACGACTACAGATCCACCTCCACAATTTCTGGCTCATCGTGGCTCTTTGACAAAGAACACACYTAAAAACTCCCTGAAACTGAATATTCCCAGCAGAATCAGACATACCTTAGTCACATCAAAGGGATTGAATGGGAACTTCTCTGCTTCTTCAAAGGTCATAACCTGAATRTAGAAGGACCATGATGGAAAGTTCCCCTTGGCAATGGCGTTGTAAAGATCCCGTATGGCATAGTCAGGGTCAGTGGAAGCCAATCTTGCTGCTTCTTCAACAGAAAGRTTCTTGATGCCCTGGTCAGTCTAAAAACAACAAAAGCACCAGTTACAACAGGAAGAAAGTGTTACAGAAATCATTAATCAGAATGAATTTTAACAAGATTTTAACAAGATTCAAGAAGGAGATTGTCCACATCCCAACTTCCAGTAACTTGAACTCAGAATTATAATACATTCAACAGCTGCCTCCCAGATAAACATCAGTTCACTGACAGAGCTCCAATAACAAGAGGCAGATCCCCAAATAAGAGTTTTTACCAGTCTGTAAATGATTACTGTGTTAGCAAGAAGAATGATGCCTCTTCTATTGGTTAAAGGTATGAAACTGATATTAAACAAGGACACCTTGTTTAGTTCTCTGAATTAAAACTTGAAAAGTCATAGAACAGTTTTATGGTTTTTATCCATTATGACATATAGTTCCAACAAAAAAACAACAACAAGAATACCTTGGCATGGAATTTGCAGTAAACTGCTCTTCCATCAGCATTAACCAGTTTGAAAGTGTGTGATCCATATCCATTCATGTGGCGATAGCCATCRGGAATGCCACGATCACTGAACAGGAAAGACACCTGTGGAGAAGGATCAAACACTATTAATGGGCTCACCAGATCAAAGAAAAAGCCATTATTCCACACTAAGTTTGTTTATTCCATTACTCTGCATCACTGGGAGCTATGTTCATGCTGTTAGGATCTCCTTGAGGAATTTCCARTTTAAGTGCTAATGAAATAAAACTGATTTCCCCTGTAAGCACAGAACTGGTAAGCATGGGTAATTTAAATATAAATATAAATAAGGCTATGCAGACCTCTAGATCAAAAAGGGGAGAGTTCAAAACTTGTCACAGCATGATTTTCTTGATCACATAAAATAAAGCCAAAGGAAAGCTTACTTGATGCAAAGACTCAGGACGAAGGCTCCAGAAGTCCCACACCATGTCTGGATCCTTCAAATGAGTCTGAGGGTTCCTCTTTTGGCTATGGATGAAGGATGGAAACTAATTTGTCCAGAAGTGGAGGAGGAAAAAGAGAAAGAAAAGAAATTAAAGAMAAAACTGTAAGATCATTGAAAAAGTCTTCTATTGCCATACCATTCCTGCAAACAAATTCATTCACAGACCAGTAAAATTAGAGCAATGTCAAACATTTACTGTGAGGATAAATAGAGATAAAGAATGTTTTCATTCTGCGGTTGATAAGGTGAGAGATATACAAATCTGAACAGTTTTATCTGTATTTATGTGACTCATAAATGAATACAGAGATACTGTAAAATCTCTGTGCAGAACTCCTGAACTCAAGGAGTGCTCCAGCACTCTACTAAGTGCTGTTAAACTTATGCTAGAAGGCAAAAAAATCAGATTTAATAAGAAGGATTGGCAAGGATCTTTAAATGTGAAAAGTTCAAGTGAAAAGTATGAAACCATGTAAGTGATCAAGTTTTAGTTCTTAAATTTACTTTTCTTTAAGAACACTTTTCCAAGTAAAAATGCTCAGACTATCTGACAACAAAATKTAAGTGTAAAAAAGCAGCTTTTCCCTCTCAGGGAAGCCAGAACAAGATGTGAATAAACTTTTGAACTCTCTCACAAAGTCCCCTCACTTTTGGTGCTTACTCACCAGAAGTGCATCCCGAATAAAGAAGATGGGAGTGTTGTTTCCCACAAGATCCCAATTCCCATCTTCTGTGTAGAACTTCATAGCAAAKCCTCGGGGGTCACGAACTGTGTCAGCTGAGCCAGATTCTCCAGCTTGGAGAAATATAAAAGAGTGTTAGAATAGGAAATCCATATAAATGTAACTTGAAAATAGGCCATAAAAGCCTAAAAGGATCAGGTTTATTGCAGTATTTTCTACACCAAGGAATTTTAGGAATGTTTTCAACAATAATTCAGGCACTGTGAGTTTCAAAGTGTGAACCCAGCCAAACATTCAGAGCACAGTTAAAAGAAGGAAAAAACAAGTATATCCACCTGAATCAATTAAGAGTGGAATTTGCATTATCACTCAGAGAGACATCATCAGATTATGAGGCTGAATCATCTAAACCCACATTTGTTTCTGTGCACCAAATCCCAGTGGGAAAGCTCTCATTTAGAAGGTAGCAATCTAATCAGCRTGCCTAATAAAAAACTATGGAAGATGTTTCTGTAATCCTTTTAATTCCTCCTACTTCACCCAGGATGGSATTTTCAGTGGGAATTTAGACCAGAGCACAAGTACCTAGCACAACACCTGAGCAGAAGTGTTCCAGAGGTGCTCAGAACAGCTAATGCTGAACACTGTGATGAAATCAGTAGGACACTCATTCTCTCACTAAAAACCTTGTGTATCCCAGAACAGCAAGGAGGAACGTGTCCAAACAGGGCAGGGAAAGGGGAGGGAAGGACCCAACAACCTGCTCCAGCAGAATTCCATATTCCAAGCTCAACTCCATATCCTTACCCTGTACAACACTCAGGACGCCCTAAATCCTAAGGGATTTAACACTGGGAACAGCCAAGAGCCCAAAACCAGCAGTTCTCTTGCTGGACTTCTTTCTCTCCACTATTCCAGAACTGAAAYCTTCATTAGGATTCCTTTGCTTTTMAATACATGCACAACATGAATTATAACTTTTCTATCCAACAAGCCATTGATCCCAATTAGTTTTAACTAACAGCACTTACGATTTAACAAGTTTAAGCATTCAGCTCCTTAAGAAATCAATTTATTTATGGAAGATKGTTTAATTTTCTTTACCCAATACTTAGGTTACACCATGCATGCCCAAAACATTCCTGTAGCATAAAAGATTATAGGTATTTAACTAGCAAGTGTTGATTGGGACCCAACCAGAAAACAAAGCAGGCTTCTGTCAGAAAAAAAACAGTCCCCTCTCACATTTCAGAGAGAAAAGAGTCCCCAGAGAGCTCTGACAGAAAGGGGCAAAAGCTGCTCAAGGTCTTCCATTGAAATAAAATTCAGAGAAAAGGAACTGGCTGGGAGAAAGGATTTCAAACACCCTGAAGTGCCCCACAATGCACACATGTAGCAGAGACACAGTAAATTCAGAGCCTCACCAACAGTGGAGAATCGAATGGCAAGCGGGGTCCTTTTCCCAATGTGCTCAAACACTTTTGCCTTGGTGTACTGGGTGATATCATGGGTGACTTCAAAATAGCCAAAGGCTCCTGGAAGACAGGAATTGCAAAATATCAGATCTAGGTACTTTCCTTCCTTCCACTCACAGCTGATCTGCCATTAACATACAGCTTTAAGTCAAAAGGAAACACAGAAATACACACTTTAAACAATGCTCTAAACACTCCATTTACTGTCACCAAACRAAACTGATTTAGCACAAACTCTTTGTACTGAGTTCATTCTCTCCTCCTGAACTGTAGCAGCTCCCAGCAGCAGCACAGAAGATGCTYGTATGCCAAGATCTGTGTATTTACCTGCGAGCAAGGCAGGTATTTCTGTAATCRTGCTCTGCATTGCAGAATTTTTGGTGCACCTGTAGGATGGGTGAAGCAACAAAACTCTTCCCACCCCCACAGAGGAACCTTTCCCAKGTACATTCCCATTATAAACACAGCCCCACATTTGCTACTTCTAGGGCAATGGGTAACAAAAATCAAGGTACTAATTCTACCTCAGCTGAGATCAAAAATAATTTTGCAAAATGTTTAGGTTTTTTAAATTTAAATGTTAGATCAYTGGCTTGCTTTGGCAGACATAGACCAGAAGACAGCCAAATTCTCTATTAAACAGCAGGCAAACCAACATTAAATAGAGATGGGGAGGAASAGAGAGAGGAAGCAGAGACTACAGCAAATACAGTAAAAACTGAAGGGCTAAAACAACATTTTCTCTCATTTTTGTAAACAATTATTCAGTGCTTCAAATTTTGGCATTGAGTTGTTTTAAACCAAGCTTTACCACTGTTGTTTATATAGATTTATTACAGCTTTAGTGGTAACACTAAATTATAGACAGCAATGTAATTTGTGTGTCACAATCTGCATGTTAACTCAAAAGCTCTTTAATTCTACACAGTGAAAATACATGATTTTGAACATACCTGCCCCTTTTGCATGCACAACTCTCTCAGGAATCCTCTCTCTGTCAAAGTGAGCCATCTCATCAGTGAAAACAACATCTTGGACAAGAAGAGGCCCCCGTGGCCCCACTGTCAGGMTATTCAGCTTATCCCCAATGGGGTTCCCAGCACCCGTGGTGAGGACATCTGGTTTCTGAAAGCAAGAGACAGTSAATATCAACATCAGAAATCACAAACCCTCTGGATGTGAGCCACACAAAATGCCTGACTGTTCAACCATTACATGCTAAAGAAGATATCAACACATAGTGGCAAAATGACTTCAGATTCTGGAGGAAGTTACAGAAAATACAGATATTTACCTAAATCACAGTACTGTATTTAGGGGAATTTAAGAGAGGGAATTCAAGTATGTATAATCCAGGAGTATTTTCCACAGTTCAGTAATAGTTCTTCTCAAGATTACTGATCATGCTTCAAGAAAAACATGGRATGGGAAAAGAGAGCTAAAAAAGCAGCAGCTGCCGGAAAATAAGGAAAAAAGGAGAGGAAGAAGGAGGCAACGACAGGACAGGGACAGAGGCATAAGGAAAGAACTACAGCCACACTAAAAGGGGGTATCCACGATTACTGTTGGTCTGGAAGAGCTATGAAAATCTAACAGAAGCAGGAACACCTGAGGAATCATCATTTTAGACTCCTGAAGCATGCAAGGACCAAGATTAACACAAGCTCTAAAACGCTCCACTGCCAGGAAATGTCCTGCAACTTTTTGTTGCAGTATAACTGAGTGTAGTCCTATTTCCTTAAAAAAAAAAAAAACCCCAAAACCACAGAAGAAAAGACTTTATCAGCATCACATATGCTATAAGGTAATATTCAAAAAAAAAAAAACAACCCAAAAAACCACAGAAGAAAAGACTTTATCAGCATCACATATGCTATAAGGTAATATTCCTGTTTTACTGGGTGCTGGACAAGTGTAGTGCAAAAGGTACATCCATTTTTCCTGGAGTACAGTGATTGTAAGCAGTCTCAAAAAGGACTTAAAAGAACAGAAAACAAGTAAGAATAAAGGAAARAAAAATAAGGAAAACAAAGAAAAAGTTTGCAACAGGGTAAACTCGAATAGCAGAATCCCAGATTATGACCAGCTAATGATAAATCCATCACATGTTGCACTAAATTGACATCATTCCATATGGGCTCTCTATCCATACCATCCACACACCTGAACCACACCAGCACAAAATCCCTCAGCCCCTGCTGACTAGCTCTTCTTCTAAAGCTCTATAAATGAAAAGGGATGGTGGAGAGAAGGAAAAAGCAGTCTTTGATGAGAAAAGCTTTCACTACTTTAACASCAACTACACTACTTTAACAGCAACTCCACAGGGTTCCAATTCTTACCCTGACAACCTAAGTGCCGCTTTAAGGAGGTTAATTATTGTAAGCAGACAAAATTCCCATCGGATGGAAGACTTTTTTCCCCCCAAGAGGCAACCCACAGAGGCAGGGAAAGAACAATYATTCACATGCATACCCAGAGCTCTGGATGAGGCAGAGAACACGGGCAGTTACAGACACTCTTGTTTCACTCAGGTCCATGAATAACCACATAAAAGACATTTGACAGGATAAGCCCATTTCCAYTGTGCTCTTACTAATGTGCAACACACACTACTCCAGCTGGCTTGAATTCCCCAAATATCCAAATTCTTTAATCTTCCTTCACTACTTCATTAGCATAAAGCCTGAAGCATAAATCCAACTTCTTTGCAACACTCAGAATCGTCACCTACAGTGAMATCTGTACCAACATTCTAAAAGACAATATATAACTGCTTACAAACATAAATATGATGCTCAGAAACTTATAGGAAAGTTACTTTAAATAAAGCTAAACTGGTATTTTAAGTCAAAGAAACATCTGCTTAAATCAAAATCTGCAGTTTGTCATGGGAAATATGCAAGAGTAAAAACTGTCCTCAGTTGATTTTCCACGGCTTATTTATCACAGGCAAGACTATTCTATAATGCCAACATTTAAGGCCACCAGAAGCCGTTGCTAAAACCACAACTTGGTGAAAATAAAGCTATAAAAAATTAACAGCTTTGCATCTTTTGTGTAGGCAGACTTTCTAGTGTTCACATCAGAAGCAAAGAATATTTATTTATTTAATGGTATATTCACTTTAGTTTCGAGATAATGTAGGACACGTAAAATAAGCTCCAGAGAGGAAATAAAAAAACACACCACAGTTTAAAGAAGTCTCATTCTATTTCTGGGCCTGAGTTTGTTTGATGCCTGGGTTTTCATACAGTTGGGAGCTGCATACGATCCAAACCTTGAATGATAAGAACTTTTGAATCTGTGTTTCATTAGAGCACTAACCTACCCAGAAAGAAAGAAGGAAAGCCAAGCCAGGAGAATTTTAGTCACTCTCTGTGGTAAAGAGCACACATCAAAGTACAAACTTCCAGGCATTACTGATACTTTGTACCTTATACAACTCACTTCAAAATTATAATAAGTCCTCCCTGCTTTCTATCTTAAAGTCTCATGACTCTCCTTATGCAACACAGACTTTGGGTTGCCTCCCAATCTCCAAATTAACCTTGGCCTCTTTTCAAACGCTGTTTTGCTACAGAAAAGCCGACATCCCTACAAAAAGAATTACTCACGGAGAAAAAAAGGAACTATTATGACACAYGCTAGGATATAATGAAGTCACAAGTCATCAGGTAGTTTTCACACTCTACCTTTGAGAACAGAGAGAAAAAAGAATAAAATTCAGATAACTTAACAGCTCCAGTGGGAACTGAGGCATGCACTTACATCTTGTAAGATCATTGCTTAAAACCAGCAAAAAGTTTATTTAATATCAAATACACATTTCTGTCAAAAACTACATGTGGAAACTGTCACAGAGATTTGATGAAGAAGGGAAATTGCAGCATTTATACATTTATTTGAATATTTTGGGGTCTATTCTACGTCTTCCGATGACTGAGTGCCACGCTACTGATTACATGCCTTTATGATTTCAATCACTTGTCCAAATCCACTGAATGGCTTRGATTGGAAGGCATCTTAAAGACCACTTCATTCCACCCCCCTGCCATGGGCAGGGACACCTTCCACTGTCCCACGGCGCTCCCAGCCCCGTCCAAACTGGCCTTGAACACTTCCAGGGACGGGACAGCCACGGCTTTCTCTGGGCAATCTGTGCCAGGTCCCACTACCCTCACAGGGAAGAATTTCTTTCTGAAAAATTCACTTCACTCTGGTCAGCAAGTCCACGCAGAGTATGCTGAGCAGGAAGAGAGCCACACGGACCATCGACTCCAACTCCTGGCCCTGCACGCTCCTGAACGCGCTTTATCTTTTACATTATTCCCTCGTTACATTGTCATTGCGCTCCACCGCCGTGACAGCGAACCGAAACGCAAACATCTGATTTAGGACGGAAAAAACCACCACCATCCCTACCCCTGCCCGCGCACCCGCGGCTCGGGCGCTGCCTGGAAGGAGCAGCCGGGGCCAGGCAGCGCTGACCGCCCTTGCCGCTCCGGGCCAGCTGGCAGCTTCCATCCCTCCGTGCCTCGGTGTTCCGGGCACAGCTCCAAGCCGTGGGGGCCAGGCCGGAACGGGGCGAGGGCGCCTCGCCCTCCGCCGCTGCCCCGGGGCCGCCCGGGCGCTTCGAGCGCCGCATCCCCCGGAACCCTGAGGGGCTCTGSGCCCTCCGGCGCCGGGGCTTCCCCGCTCTCCTAGGGATGGGAGCCGCGGGGGTACCGGGGGGGCCTGGCGGGTACCTGCGAGCCTCGCTGGGTCTTCCACTGCTTCAGCTGATCCGCGGCGTCATCCCGCCCGTCGGCCATTTTGCAGTCTCCGGCGACCCCCGGGGAAGGAAGGGCGGCGAGGAGCGAAGCGGGAGCGATGAGAAGCGGGAGCGGCGGGGCTGTGCTCGCTCCTAGCGAGAAGGCAGCGAYGGGGAGGTCAGGCCGTGGCCCGGTCACGCTGTCACCCCGCGGGGACCCAGCGCCGCCACCGCGTCCCGCCCGCAGCAGCCGCGGCTAGCGGGAGGCACCGCCAAGTACAGCTCCGGCTGCCCGCGTGWGCCCGCCCCCCGCTACTCCCGCGGCCAATAGAATAGCGGGTTGGGGTCAGCGAGAGCTCTGATTGGTCTAAAGGCATGTCAATCAAGCGCGGTGGTGCCCCGCCCAYCTTTCGCGCTGAGGGGACAGAGGGCGGAGGGGTCGTGGCGTTTGTTWGGAATTCCAAGGAAGTTAACCTTCCGAAAATATTTCGGATTTTTCGGCTGTAATTTTATTGTCGAGATGCCGGAGCTCTCTAAACCTGCTTATGGTGGAGGCGTTSGTCAGTGACATAAGTTACCGGCTCAGGGCACTGAAAACCGCACGTACTTAGGGAGGTTTCTGAGGCAGGGTTTATTTCAGCGGGGAAAAAGTTGCAAAATCAAAGTGGCCAATATAAAATTATATAAATTATATTAGTGCATAACTATATACACGCTCATTCTTGTATTGGTGCCTTAAATGGGGTACAGGTGATTCATTGATCATAATTTATATGTGCCCAATAGTAAAGAGCATTTCTTTAGAGACTGGAATTTTTAACCTTAAAAAAACTACTCACTTCGGAGTTTTGTGGTTATGCTTACAAACTATGAGTTAATATGACAGCTGCAGTTTTCATAATACCGCAGGAGGTCCCCTGGCTTGGTGCCCAATGCATATACTGTGGGTGATAAAAGTGRTAAAATAGCTGGTTGTTTTTTCTATTTCTGAGGTAAAACCTTTAAGCAAAATGAGTAACCCATGTTAAACTGCTTATCTGCAATATTATATATACATTCTTTCTCTTAATAGATACAAAGAATAGTCTCACCTATTATTTTGAGTTGATAATTGCTTTGTCTGGTATATGTTATTACGGATTAGAAGGTTAAACCTCCCAAATTCAGGTCTGTATGGCAAAGGGAATACCCCTATTTCTATTCCTTTTCCTCAGAAATATGAAACAGCAAACTCTTTTTTTTCTCCTTCACCATTTATTGGGACATTTCTTTCATGCCTTGAAGTTCTGTAATCTTTTCTCCTTCAACATGATAACCAACATCATAAAGAAGGGCAAGAMAGATTACTGTGTTTCTCATATTTTTGTATGAAATATACATCATCAGATTACACCTACCACACCTAGATTTAATATTAGGAGTGTCCACACACAGATTTTTAAATCAGTAATTGATATTTCAGTTTGCTTAACCAGCAAATTGGGGAAAATGTGGACATTTTCACGAACAGTTAATATTTGCTTTTCCTTTAAAGTTTAACATTTTAAGCTTTAAGCTGGACAACATGTGTAGATAAACTTGCTGGTCACAAATCTCTTTCAAAATAAGAGTGACTTGCACTTTCCTTTGCTATCAACCCTTCTYGTTATATGCTGGAGGAAATTATGTATGTGCATATACCTACGCGTGTGTCTGCATAAATAAACAAACAAACAAACAAGAAGAGATTAAATATTGGCTAAGAAAAATGCAAASCCCAAAACAAAACCCAGGGCAGAGCAGGTGGCAACACCAGTGGCACGTGTTGCAAACAGTGTTTGTACTTTAGCTTAACTAAAACCAAGTGACTGTGTTTCATAAGAAAGGTCACACGCAAAGCTCAGTGTGACACAAATACTTTTGTCTCTTATCTTGCTCTAATTTTTTGTCTTTTCAGAAAAAAAAGCAGCAAATGCTGGTTTGAATTCCACAAGTTGTGGGTATCTTAATTTATTTCCTTTTCCCCTCTCCTATCTTGATATTTGTTTCCTGCGGCGCCTTATTTGCCTGCATGAGCCTCCTGTTGTATATGTGCATTAAGTAAACAAACTTCAAACAATTCCAAATTAATCATCTTTATTTACCTGGGAGACTGGTTCTCTGCTGCCACATGACTTTCTGAGGCATTATCCAARCCACACTTTGCCCTTAATTAAGATTTGGGGAGATTAAAAGACATGRTGCTTAGCATTTGTGTTTTGGTTTCTGTATTTGAAGTGTGTTTAAACACCAAATACCAGGTCAATGTCACTCACATGCACAATTGTGCTGTAAATAAAGTTTACAAGTAGTTCAGTGATTTACACCCAAGGGAAGGATCTAGAATTAGTTAACCAGAAGGTCAAGTGTTCCTGTTGCTTTGCCAATTAAGTTCCATAAGCACCCCAAGCTTTCATCCTACATTTATCAGCCATCTCTGGCTGCCTTGATCCCAACCTCTGCTGATGATTAAATCAGAGTTTTGAGTGTTCCCATGCTCCCTACAACATCTGTACACTCTGAGTGCCTTTACTGCAGAGCCAGAGCATTTAACTCCACTATAGAGCATGGGGGACAAAATTACTTTTATTTTTAAAGGTCAGAAAAGAGAAGCACAAGAGAGAGCATGCTCCRTTCTTATTTAAAATGCTTATTGATGAGAACACATCACARGRTTGKGATTCTTGTTGACCCTTCTATTTAACCTGTTCAAAATTGTATCTTCCAGRCTGTCCAAATTATGAGGCTTGGATACATTTTCTAACACACAAGGTCAGAAAGAAAAACATAAAAAGCTCTGGTTTAGACTYACATAATAAAGATATAATTGATATCACTGAGTATATTTTCAGTCACAAAACCAATTCAGCTACTGTATGTACTTCAATGGTGAGATAATATAATGAATCTATTCTTAACACCTGAAATAGTAATTGGCCTTTATAAATATCCAATATTTGTGTAATTACAGTACCTCAGGAACCTTTTGCACTCATCCTTTTGTTGTCATGCCTGCTGTAAACATAAAGGCACAGAAAAAACATGGAAAGAGCAAAACACAATAACATGACAGAGGACTGACAGGTAGGTATGGCAACTACAGTCAAAAGAAATAGGTTACTGTTATATTAAAAAACCAGATTTATTAATAGAAAGAACAGGTTAATGTCCATTTCAATATAATAAACAGAACATTCTATCTGTTGGCTGATTGCCAACACACACCCAGGACAGTTTTATATTTCAAGCTGGCAATTACAGAGACAGGAAGCTGATGCTGTGAAAGGTCAGCCAGCCTCTGGGTGACACGTGCTGAGGTGTTGGACACGGCCTGTGGTGAGGAGAAGAATGGAATAAGAGATAGGTAATGATAAACTGGGGATCTCTCTCTAAGATAGGTCTGAAAACATTTTGCAGTTTGATGATAAGTTTATCATTYAGTAACTTGCATTATACATAGCCTTTTTAATTTTGTGCTGTCAGTCACCGGACCCAATGGAAAACAGTGAAAACACTGAAATGCAGCATCTTTAGAAGAGGTGGACTTTCAGGGATCATTGAATGGACAACACTARTGGAAAAGGTAAGCAGGGAGGGAATAAAATCTGGATTTTGTGGGAAATAGCACATTAGGCTGTAATTTGATAGAGCCAGATGCTGAGATGTGTAGAAAACGTGAAAAAAACATGTAGGAAAAGATCAGGAAAAGGCAGATAGGAGACCTTACTTCGTGTTTGTCATTTTTCACCCTCCTCTGGTGCAGTTATAGGGCAAGGTCTCAATTTAAACTACTAGAAAAAGGGATTGGCCTCAAATATTGAAAAGTGTGTTATAATATTATTAAATTATATGTTTCAAACATGTTTTTCTTTGCTTCTCTCATTCTCTCATTCTCCAAGACGAGAATGACTTCAGTGATTTTGGAGCAGTTGTCTTCAACCTTTGTGGTTTGTATGGAGTTAGTAAATGCCAGTGGTTCTAGACATAGTCCTTTTTTACCAAAAATAAAATTTAATTAATCTGTATTAATTGTTTCTAATAATGCATTGCTTTTCATAAACAGTACTTGTGATCATMATTATCAAGAAGTTGTGTTTCATATTAAGTGCTGAAAAGAGCTGCAATCTACTCCTTGAGATCAGTGAAAGAACAATAATAGAGTTAGAAATGCAGCACTTTTCAGGTAGTGGGGTAGTAACATGTTGAGCATCCTGGATTCCTCAGTTCTGTGTTTTTACTCCTCAAAACAACATCATTAAAATTATTTAACATCACAGACACACAATTTTCTTTCACTGATGCAGATTTTATTTCCTTTCAAGTTAGAGCACCATATGAATGTTTTTCTATATTTGTTCTCTGTATTACTAGCAGCATTGTCTGAAGCATCTACCCAATGGCAGTTAATAAAACCTCAATTTTGGAATCTGATTTTGCCCATTAAAGCTTCATTCTGCATACAAAAAGATTTAAAGCTAGACACAGCCATATTTTGTTCTGTTGTTACAATCAGAGGCTCTKAAGCTTTAAATGGGTCAACCATCAGAATGACTTAGTCACATGCCCCTTAAATTAGTCAAGTGCTTAATTAGCCTGCTGGATGTTTGCATGTATAAATATAGATGTTTGATCCAAGAGATACCTTGATACAATAGGTGCCATTTCATGTGTTCTAGTTCCAGAGAAAGAAGAGGATCCTAAATGAACTGAGCTTGAATTTACAGAAAATTAAAGACAATTAAAAATGTTGTCTGCCCAGCAGGACTGGAAAATCAGGCTATTAATTSATTGCCAGGAAAAATGAGATACATGTCTTTGAAAATTTTGAAGATAAATGCGTAGCTAAATGCATCAGCAGGACTCCAGACTGATACATAGACATTATTCATGTAATTCAGTAACACCAGGGATGAGGGATTTCAGCATGGTTCATACCTTGAATTTCGGTTACTTTTGGTACTAAAACTGTGAAAATTTGTTGTCTGATCACCCTTTGTTCTTTACAGTGGTGATTTCTGAATTTTCATGTGAATTTGCAATCATGGTGCTGCCTGGAAAATAAAATATCCTCATAGGGATCTTATGGGGAGAAAACAACAGCAACAAACACAGCAGCCAGTGGAACGGCAACAAACCAGATGGATTTGTAACCACAGCAAATATGGATGCTGGGAAACAAGGAAAGGCAAACGAGAAGATTGGTGAGGTACTAAGAGAGGAAAYATCACTGTTTTTGAAACCAATAGG